CTGGCAGTGATCTTGTGAAAGATAAGTGAGATATTATATGTCAAGTAATTTAGCACAGTCTCTGATATGTAGGAGGTGCTTGTTAAAGGATAGATATTATTGCTTATTATTACTGATACTAATGAACTCACAGGAGAAAGCTATCACTGAGGTTGGGGATTAGGAAGGGTTTTTTTAGAAGAGTTTGGATTTGAGATAAACCCATTAAAGATTGATAGACTGCACATTTCCTCTTTATTCTCCATTAGATTAAAACATTCCTAGAATGTGAAGACTAAAATTAGCCTGTATTCTATATTGCCCTTTTAATAACTAATACATGTCAACTATGTCATAAAAATGGGAGTCCAAGGAGGCAAATGGACCTATATGGTGGCAAGTTTCTACATTTTACATGACATAGTACAATATTGTCTCTACGAAGACTGAAAATTTAAGGATGCACAATGTAATCCATAGAGTAAAACAATAATAACATAATTCAAAGAGGCATAGATAATAAGCTAATACATTAATTTAATTGCAATAATAAATGTGTTCAAATAACTCAAAAGAAGGCAGGAAGGGAAGAACAATGAAACAAAATCAGAGAAGACAAATAGGAAAAAAATGATAAAATGTTAAATCTGAATATGACCATACTGATAATTATATTAAATATTTATAGGGTAAACATTGAAATGAATGGGCAGAGCTATATGGATAAAAAAGCAAGACTTAACTATATGCTGTGTACAAGAGACACATTTTAAATATGATACAGATAGATTTAAAATAAATGCATAAAAATATATACCATGCAATAATAAAAAGGCTAGAGTGGTTTTATTAATATCAGATAAAATTGACTTCATGACAAAAGTGTTACTACCAGAGAGAAGAAGTGAACCTCATAAAGATAAAGGGTCAATTTATCAGGAATATATAATAATAAAAAATGTGTGTGTGCCTAGTAACAGAGCCTCAAAATGGATAAAGCAAAAACTGACAAAGTTATAGGAAGAAATAGAAAGTTCTACAAAGTAGGTTTTAATGTTCTTCTCTCAGAATTGGTAGAACAACTACACAAAAATCAGTAAAGACATAAAAAATTTGAACAATGTTCTCAGTCACCTTAGCTTATTGATATTTTTTAGAACACTATATCCACCAAAAAACAGAATGCACATTCTTTGCAAGTGCACACAGTATGTTCACCAAGATAACCCAGGTGCTAAGCCATAAATAAGTCTCAAAAAATTTGAAATAAATGAAATCATATGGAGGTTGTTGTCTGATGAGAACATAATCAATAGCAATATGATACCTAGGAAAACCCCAAATATTTGGAAATACCTAACATGGTTGCATGAAATTCTCCTGTGGCTTAGTAACTATTAGATGAAGGGAAGGTAAAGAGAACATTCAAATTTGGGGATGGGGACAATGACTTGTGTTGGCAAATTCCTTTCAGGGCTCTGCTAAAGCCTTGGAAGATGAGAAGCTCTGTTCAGAGCTCATTTTTATTGAACTAGACTGAAGACCTTTATGCTTAGCTGTTAAAATTTTACATGAGCACATAGGATTTCATGAATGGCCTCATTCAGAGTCCCAGACTGAAAATAATGAACACTATCACCTTCAGATTAAAATAGATACAAACACAAATGCATATGCTTGCGCACACACACACACACACAATCACACCATGCATTTAGAATAACAGATGCTGAACATCTATGGAAACATCTGCATATTTTATGAAGTCAGTTTTCCTCTAGAATAATATGAATTTGGCCTTTCGCCTTATGGGCATTCTGTTTCTACACAGGTCTTATTTGATTGAGAGGACCCTTGATTATCCCAGCTTTGAGCACAGGAGGGAGGCTGCAAAGGGAGGCCGAGGACTTGCTTGTATTGGGGGAGGAAGGTGAAGTTCAGGTACCCAGGATCTCACAATTCTAAAGACCACTCTCTTGTACTACCAACTGCAGTGTGTGTCAGTTTGTCATTGCAGCTGTAAGAGATTACAACAAACTTGGAAGCTTAATACAACACAAATGTATTATCTTATAGCTCTGTGTTTCCTAAGTCTAGGTAAAATGTGGCTCTGCTGGATCCGTGGCTTAGTCTCACAGGGCTGAAATCAAGGTATTGACAAGGCTGCCTTTCTTTCTGGAGGCTCTAAGGAAAAATCTGCTTCCAAGCTCATTCAAGTTGTAGGACTGCTGCTCCATTTCCTTTTTGGCTAGTGTCTGGTTGTTCTTAGCTTCTAGAGGCTGCCCACGTTCCCTGGTGATGGCCCCCTTGCTCTAACTGTAAAGCCAGCAACATCATGTTGAGTCTTTCTCATGCCTTGAAATTGCTCTGCCTCCCTCTAGTGCTGCATCACTCTAACTGTTCTGTGTCCCACTTCCACTTTTAAGAGGCCATGTGATTACATTGGGCCCACCTGGAAATCCAAGATCATCTCCCTATCTTAAGATAGGCTGATTGGCAGCCTTAATTCCACCTGCAAAGTCCCTTTTGTCATGTAAGGTAACATCTTCATGGGACTTAACAACAGGGGGCAAAGGTCATGTGGGTCAGAATCAATCTTACCATAAGGCATTACCAACAGAGTGCTCAAGGGACAATTTTGAGTGATGTCAAAATTTGTAAGCTTGGAGACAAATCTTGGACAGAAAGAGAATCAAGTAGAGGAAGATTTTCGAGAGATTTATCTTATTTAAAGTTAAACAAAATAAAATTCTTTTTTTTTGAGGCTTTATTTACACTCTGCTTCAAAATGATTTTTGTTCCAGCTCTGGGCATATATTAATTGTCTGAGACCTCAGTGGGTAGTTTGTCTATGTTAAAGGGAGTAGCACAGAAGGTAAGAGCTGTAAGGAACCTGAGAGCTCATCTTGTCTGTTTTTTGTACTCTGCAGATGAGCAAACCGAAATCCAGAGAGCTAATGGTTCTCTAACCAATAGATAGTAGAATTGGGACTAGAATACAGATGCCCTACTCCTAGTCCAGTATGTCATATCAAATTGCTCATGTCTCACAGTGGTAAATACAGTTGTATATTTTAAAGACAGAATTTGTTCCAAGACTTCCTTTCTTCCTTCCTTCCTTCCTTCCTTCCTTCCTTCCTTCCTTCCTTCCTTCCTTCC